CCAAGATAGACAGATGCCAGCAACTGGCTGTATAGAGTTTATCTAACCACTTACTATAGGGGCGAGGCTTTCTCTCTTTCAGTGATTATTAATTGTATATGTAGGTACTGATTAATAAAGGAAGTTAATGCTGAGTATTGGGGATTATCAGAGGATTGCTGGTTGGTGATCTGAATCAATATAACTTCTTCTCAAAATAATTCCACTGGGAATGTTGGAAATGCCCTCCCCATCTGTGACTCCCAGCAACTGGTGTTTAGAAGCATAGTGTCTCTCAACAGTGGAGCTTAGAACATGACCATTGTGTTTAAGTAGCCATCACAATAGCCTTATCTTCCATGAATTTGTTAACCCCCCCTCCTGCTTTTGAAGCCATCCAATATCTTTCCTACTTCTGCAAACCTTGGGCTTCTCCCAAGTTTGCTGAGACCTCCCTCCTGTGCCTTAGTGGTGCTGTTTTGGCACTGGCAGTTAGTTGCAGCCTGAAAATTGTGGAAGGAATGACAAATGAAATGTCTACAACTCTCTTGCTATTTCCTGCTCTCCCCCTCCTCTTTCAAGAGTCTTCCCTTGGCTGCTTACCAGATGACTCCAGCTGAGTTGGAGAGTTCAGCATCCTTTCTCCTTGCAGCCTTGCTAGACTCACAATGTCCATCTAACAACGAATCCCTTGATACTCTTTCAACACTGGAGAGTTTGGGTGAAGCCATGCTAAGGTGGTGGTGACGAAAACTGCCTGTTCAGGTCTTTAGAGGCAGGAAGGATCACTCAGTTAGTAATCTGAGACTTACTAAAGTCCTGGGCTTAGTTGTTGTTGATGATGATAATATTTTTTTATTTGTACCCCGCCCATCTGACTGGGTTGCTCCAGCCACCCTGGGCAGCTTCCAGCATAGAAAATATTAGAAACATATTAGAAAAACATAGAAAATATTAAATTTTAAAAAGCTTCCCTATACAGGGCTGCCTTCAGATGTTTCCTAAATGTTATCGAATTACTCCTTAACATCTGGTGGAAGGCATTCCACAGGGTGGGCACCACTACTAAAAAGGCCCTCTGCCTGTTAATAACGCCTGAATGAACATGAAACCAAAAATTGCTTTCGGTTGTGCACATTTTATTTTTAAACTGCTTCACAAACCCTTAGGTTTTGCTTTCTCCAAAATATGCTGGTCAGGCACAATGGAAGTCATTACAGCAGCCTTGCAAATTGGGGAAGCGTTGCTTTTTCTCCATGCCCTGGCCTTCTGCGGCTTCCTTTACCACCAGCTGCACCAGCATTTCTCTTCCTACTCTATTCAGGTAAAAAGAAGTGTGTTTAGAACAGTGCCCCCGCTTTTCCCTCCTGAACCTGGGGAGCCAGGATAGTGTAGAAGTTAAGCAATACTTGAGGCTAGCAAGAAAAACATGCCTGTTACGGCATTTGCAAATGCCTGGCTACACCTCGCCTGTTCCTTCACGGTTACCCTCAGTCTTGCTTCTGTGGTGGTGCGTGTGTAAAGGAGATGCTGCACGCGCCCATTGCCACGTGAGTGCCACACTCCCTAGTGTGACATTGAAAAAGCTCGTCTGTCAGGGGAGGGGAAACATGGGAAGGGAGATGGGGAGAAACTGGTGTTGTGGCTGCCTCCCAAATGGAGTCTGAACAAGGGTGAGGCCGGTGGGGGGCGGGGAGAGAAAGCAAAATTAGCCAACTCTGGTTGCATCCTCTTCTTGCAGAAGAAGCACAGAACTAAATGAAACCACTTCTCCTCAGACACGCTTTCAGTGCCTGCCCCTCCTTGCAAAGGCAGAATGAAGGCACATCCAGTAGGTGGGCACCCTGTGTACAATGGAATCCTGATTTAAGATAGCTCTTCATATTTGAAGCGTCAAGATCAGGAGTCAGCAACCTTTTCCACCCTCCCTCAGACCATGTGGTGGGTTGGACTATATTCTGAAGGGGAAAAAAGAACGAATTCCTTTGCCCCACAAATAACCCAGAGATGCATTTTAAATAAAAGCATGCATTCTGCTCATGTAAAAACACGCTGATTCCTGAACTGTCCACAGTCTGGATTGAGAAGGCGATTGGGCCGCATCCAGCTCCTGGGCCTTAGGTTGCCTTCCCCTGGTCAAGATGATCAGTTTCTTGCCCCATCCTCCGAGCCCAGAAGGAAGAGGGAGGCAGCTCTGCATCCAGCTGTTAGATCAGAGAACTGTGTTCTGGACAGGGTGAGTTTAGCTCTTACATTTGGCTCATAGCTGCACCTCTCTAACCTGGCAGTGGGCGTGTACATTTTTGGGACCCACTCTTTTTTTTGCGATTGTAAGCAGTTTTAATGTTGCATTTTTCAATTGCCATAACCTACCCTGGCACCTTAGGGTGAAGGGCAGGTAATAAATTTAAATATTGTGATTAGCAATATAATAGTAGTAGGGGGAGGGGAAATGCCCTTAGATCACGGGTTCCAAAGTATGGCCCGTGAGCTTCATTCTGGTGGCCTATGATGTATCTGTAAAAAAGCAATTAAAATTCATAGAGTATATAATGTAGCACATTGCAGTTTCCACAACGGGCAGCAAAATCAATAAGTAGTCTGCCAAGACACTCAGCATTTTTCAGGTGATCCATGGGAAAACAAGTTTGGGAATCACCGCTGCCCTAGATCAAAAGTCGGTCTGTCTGGGGAGGCTTGCCCACTCAGTCGCTTGGGATTTCCCCACTTTCCTTTTCTGCATGGAAGTGTGTGACAGGCCACATCGCAGGAGCATTGTGGACCCAGAGCTTGTTTTTAGCTTGCTCCAGGAGACTAGGCAAGTGGCTACTTACAAGTTTATATCTGAGGAAACAGGAAGCCTATGGAGACTAGGAAATGATGAGAGAGAGAGAAGGGGAACTGTGTGCCCACGGCCAATGAACTCTCTGGTTTCTGAGTCTACAGCAAATGCTGCCGTAGTGTTTGCAACCTTTCTTTGCCACAATGAGGGCTAAGAAAGTGCTTTTTGTATTAACAGGTGTACTAGGTTTCTGTGGATTCCAAGTCTTGTACTTTTTTTTAAAGATATAGCTGTATGCAGCATACACCTAAACATACAGGCTTTTGACAGTTCTGAGATTGGAAACATATTCCCTTCCAATGCCCTTATGAGGATCACTTCATGTAGATAGGGGGTGCTTGAATTACACTGAAACGTTGATATTGACATAGGCCTGTCCAATAAGCTGGCACATACTGAAACTGGTGGGAGTAGAATTTAATTCCTCAATCTACAATTAATGTACTGCAAGTGCTGCTACAACCTGAGGACAAACATAACTAGCAAACTGTTCCACTTGCCAGGAAATGTAAATTGAATTCTGTACGTTTCTCAGAAAGCTTAAGCAATAAGTGAAGTGAATTAGCGGAAGTGAATTGCTTAAATGAAAGCACGTTGACCATTGTCTTTCCTTGGCACGGTTCTGTAGGTTACAGCATCCTGTGCTAAGTAAAATGTGATGTGGACAGATTGTTTAAGTCATGTGTAAATGGATTAAAATAATCTAATTTGTTTCTCACCAGCCAGTGCTAAGTAGACTGGGCTATATGAAAATGTATGCAGGGCTCAATGCAATACTTCTGAATTTCTTTTCAGCAGGAATTCATTCGGCATCTTTTGTAGGCTTGCATTCATTAAAATTGTACAGGTCTGTTTATCCAGGGGGTTGTTGGAAAAAATAAGTTTAGCTGCAGCTCCCCCCCTCCCCCTTACAGCAATTGAACTGATTCCTCAGTACATTTACATATGAACATTTGTGCCGCTTTTCAGCTACACAGCCCCAATAAAGGTTAAATTGTATTTCTTGTTGCAAGAATTATAGTAACTCTTTACAGCAACCCTTTTCAAGAAAGACTTGTTAAAAAAGCAGAATATACAAAATCATTTATTTGAACCCACAGGTATTAAATGTGATGAAAGGAAGCTTTTGAGACACACAGGGCTTCTCTTCCTAGAACTAAATAATTAGAAAGATAATGGCACCTGGCTGGCTTTTGCCAACAATGTTTGGAGACATCCCTCAGTGCCAAAGTAGAGGAAGGAAGTTACTACAGAGGCCAACTCTCTGTATTTACCAGAGAAGGTCCCTATTTCCTTGTCCCTGCTTCTGGTAAACCATTATCCTGCCATCCCCATTTCTGCCATGTGAACATGCTTGCTTTTGGTATTTTTTAGTGTAAGCTGTTGGTAAGTTGCTTAATGTTATCAGTCGCCTTGTCTGCTCGTTCATTGATCTTTAACTAGTGACCAGGATCTGCTGCTGGGTTGCAGCGTCATCTAAGATGGGTCACAACCTGGAACAGCAGCAGTATACAAATCTATGGTAAATTTTTAAAAAGAAATAGGTCCTCAAATGGATGTTTGAGTTCAAAGTGGGCCCCAGGTCTGAAAACATGGAAGACTAGAACACATGCGTCTCATTGCGTACCACATGGGCATTGAGGTACCAGCTTGCCATTTCACTCACTGCAATCAGTATTCTTTCACCACGGAGGATAGTATTGTAGACAGATAGGGGGGTTTTTTTTGGCTATAACTTTCACCATAATAACCATTGCCCTCTTGGCTGCTGGACCTGTGAAGGACAGGGCTGTTGTAAATTAAATGAATATAGCGTCCAAGTGATAGTATTGTAGACTTGTCATAGTGGAGCTTACTAAGTGATCTTTGACTTGAGAATAGAAGTTTCATAGTGTAGCAAATCCCTGTTTTCATCTGTGACAAGCTGGAAGTATAGCACAGGGGTATGTTGCAGCAGACAGTTAATTAGTTTGTTCATAAAGTTGCCTCCAGGGACAAAGTAGTAAATGAAAAATGTGTTTCCTCCAGAGGGAGAACTACTTAGGTGCGAGGCATGACTATATCCCCATCCAAGCCTTGTGGGACTCTTGGAAGTGAGGGGTAAAAGCCTCATCCAAAGTACAACAGCAGTTTATCTTATCAAAGCTGGAGGTTAATGTGGAAGGTGTATAGTGTAGATGCCTGGATAGTTCAGTCGGTTAGAGCATGGTATTGATAATGCCAGGGTTGCAGGTTTGATTCCTGTATGGGACAATGCATATTCCTGCATTGCAAGGGGTTGGGTGATCCTCAAGAGTCTCATCCACCTCTACAATTCTATGACTCCAAGTACAAAATCTATTATCTTCTCTCTAGCTTTACTCCTGCATTATTTTGCTAGAGGGCTTCAACTTCCAATGCTACAAATGTGCTGAAGACATCTGCTTTACCCCTGACCTTCCTAGAAGGTCTGAAGGGGGCTCATAATAAGCGCATTTGACTGAACGCACTTGCAAGCCCCTTGTGATCGGGAACCCTGACCGTTGGGAGACTTGCAAGTGCATTCAAGCAGAAGACCCTCTCAGATCTTTCTGCTCAATGCAGAAAGGTTGGGAGTCTGTGGGTGGACCTGTCTCTACTCACTAGTTCTAACCCTTGTGAAGTCTTTTGAATGCTTTCATAGGACACCTGACTTCCAGTTACTTGTTGGTTGGAACTTTCCCAGCCAGCACAAACATTCTTTTATTAAATTCGCCATTGAGAGAAATGTAGTTATCCAATGGAAAAGCCTTGTTTGGTGTGTTGAGAAGAGATGACACACCTATAATCCTGCACCCCAGCTCCTTTTGCTTCTTTGCGAATAGAAGAAGCATTTTTACTGCATGCCTCCCTCCTTATTGCCCCAGTCTTTCGATTCCACTGCAATTTTAATAGTAGGGAAAGACATTTAGATGGAGGGGTTAATGATGCAACATTGAAAGCTCCGGTTTGCACTCACTGCAGTCAGGAAATACAAAGCTTGGTTTGAGTGCCAATTGAACACTCCATTTCCTGGCTAAGCTTGCTATTTAGGTTTTTTTTTTAAGGCTGCATAGAACCTGTGTCTGTATGTTTCTCTGTGCCTTCCTGTTTGCACATTTCAGTTTGTCAATAGCAATATTTCTTCCTTTGAAAGAAGCACTCTGGTGGATATAAAGTGCTGTGCCAAACGGAAATGGTGTGCTTCGTTTAGCGTTTTGATAGCAACCTGTCTGAACTATGTGCTTATCATTCCGGAAAAGCAAAAGGCTGCTCTTCCTGCATACGGCTTCCTGTGCATGCCGATCAGCTGCAGCATGCTCTCGATCTAAGCGACATTAGGAGACTTGGGAAGTTTGCAAGTGCCACAATTCAGAGAGACCTAGAGATCATAAAGCCTTTAGGTTAGCCCAGAAGCCGTGTGTGAATGTTACAGCTGTAGCAGTCCCAAATGCTGGCTTAGCCATCTTTGCAGGAAGATAAAGCAATTTTATTTGGCCCTAAAATATTTTTACTGTACCTATCTGTTAGAAGGCAGGCTGAACGTTGGTTCTAGATAGCTTAGAGGTTTTGTTGCTCCATTATCTTGACTGTTTTCACTGTCTCTTCTTGCTTGCCCTTCTTTTGCTTGTCCACATTCTCCTGTTTGTGAGAAGTGATGTAGAATCCTGTGGCACAGTATATAATCTGGAAACCAGAAAATCCCTGATTCAAATCTCACTCCAGCTCTGAACTGTTTAATAGCCTTAGGAAAGTATATCTTATGTATCAGCCCTATATTGCAAACGGGCTGTTCATAGCTGCTGGCACTGGATGCTCAGATATGTGCTCTCCAACATTTTAGCAATAGGCCGTTGAAGGTCTCAAGTCCCTGCAATATTCCACTCACGTTTGGAACAGCTGTTCTGTGGGAGGCAGGAGGATGGGACTTGTTTGATTAAGTTGTAGTTAGTGTTGCAAAGGAAGGCGAGAGAGCAAAGATGTAGCTGGGTGAAACACATGAATGGAAATGCCCTCTTTACCCCTTCCCAACATGCACAAGGAAATTTAATTTTCATAATTAAAAGTTGTGCTGCCCTTTTGCTTAAACAACACCCTTAACAGTGTGAGTCCAATGTTATGAATGCTGAGCCAAAGCTTAGAATTCAAACCTTTTGAATTTGCTGTTGAATATTTTGGAGGCTGACATTTTGTGGTGGGCAATTAAGGAATCTTCTAGTTCTGGCAAAAGATCTATGTTCTGTAGTATTGGAACTTCACTCCAAGAATGGATGGAGTGGTTCCTTTAAGTTCTGGAAATTATTGAGACTGATGTACTATTGGAGTAATGGCATATATGTCCCAACTTTTAGGGGGAAAGAGCTTTGCTGGAGTAGGCCAAGGTCTGTTGCTCCCTAGTAACTGGTATTCAGAGGCATATTGATTCTAAACTTGGAGGACATGTGTGTATCTCTATCATCTATCTATCTCTATCTGTCTATCTATCTATCTATCTATCAATCAATCATTTATCTATCTAATCTATCTATGCCCCATTGATGAATCTGTCTGATCCACTTTCAAAGCCATCTAAAAGAGTGGCAAAGGACGTGGGTGGTTTGTGGGTTAAACCACAGAGCCTAGGACTTGCTGATCAGAAGGTCGGCGGTTCGAATCCCCGTGATGGGGTGAGCTCCCGTTGCTCGTTCCCTGCTCCTGCCAACCTAGCAGTTCGAAAGCATGTCAAAGTGCAAGTAGATAAATAGGTACTGCACCGGTGTGAAGGTAAACAGCGTTTCCTTTCACTGCTCTGGTTCGCCAAAAGTGGCTTAGTCATGCTGGCCACATGACCTGGAAGCTGTACGCCGGCTCCCTCGGCCAATATAACGAGATGAGCACCGCAACCCCAGAGTTGGCCACGACTGGACCTAATGGTCAGGGGTCCCTTTACCTTTACCTAAAATAGTGGCCATCAGTCACTTCTTGTTACAGTTAATGCAATAAGTTAACAGCATGTTGAGCGCCTTTTTAATTTTAGTGGAACTCATGAATAATATTGGGAAGATGCTTGTTTAGCAAGTTGTATTTGTAAAACAATAAGAAATGTAACTGGTTTAAGCAGTAAGGAAAGCTTTTACAACATTTCTCCAAATGTTTTAGTAGGCAATCTAGATCCAATGGTGTTTTTTTTCTAGGAGGATTGTGGGAAAGAGAACATCTAGCACAAGGGGGGGGGGAGGGAAGGAATGTGCCCTCCTGATTTACGCAGGATTTCTGAAATTCTACACTTCAAGAATATTGGGGAGTTTTTATTCCACCGTCCTCCATTCTCTGCCTAGAATAAAAGATATGGGAGAGCTATAAACGTGTTGCTGTAGTAAATTATTAGAGGTTTCCTACTGATCCTGCAACAGAATTTTAAACAAGACCATTTTCTGCTAGTTGCTTATTCCTTCTGCTCTCTCTGTGTTGCGGATTTCTGGTTCCACCTTATCAGACTGCACATCCAGTAATAAGGTCTTCTGGGTGATCTAAATTATTAAAGAGGTTCTTCTCCCTCTCTCTAAACTTCGAAAAATAATACATCTCTCTCTCTTCGTTCCTTCAGGCTCCAGACAAAAGGAAAGCATTAGAAGAGACCAAAGCATACACAACTCAGTCTTTGGCCAGTGTTGCTTATCAGATCAATGCACTGGCCAACAATGTGCTCCAACTACTGGATATCCAAGCGTCCCAGCTCCGGAGAATGGAGTCCTCAATCAATCATATTTCCCAGGTAATTCCCCCCCAGAGATGTTAAAGATATACTTTTCTTGGGTGTTCCAAAGATGTAAGAGATTTTTTGAGATGGTTCACATGCGATGGCAACTCATGGTTTGATAGTAATGTAAATAAGCCTCAGGCTTGCATATGCTTTCATTCTCTAGTGTGTTCGGATCACCTTTTGTAGCTAGTCGTAGCACAGAAAGAAGAAATGCCGTGGTGTAGCACAACTGGACGCCTTCATCTGTCCCAGCTGCAACAAAGCACATCTCTTCTGTATCTGTTTCTACAGCCCAGGGGCACCAGCTCTTGGGGGCCCGAGCCCTTTTGGGCCCTCCCAATATTTTTGGGTGGGGGCTGCACCCCGCCCATGTCCAAAGAACACATGGGTGGAGCTGAGCGCGGCACGCCTTCAGTGGCCAGCTTCTTCTCCTTCCGCAGAGGGGGAGGATGGCTGAAGCAGTGTGATGTTGCCCCCCCATCACCCTTGCAAGCTGGCATCTCTGCTACCGACGCAGCAAGTGCTGCGATCTTCCAACAGTTTGATTTCACCCCTAAAGGCACACCCCTCCATTGCCAACTGAGACCGACGGATGCCAACAACAACAGTCACTACATTCACTTGCCCTCCGAACCCGTGTTTCAAATCACAATCAAACTACAGTCGTACCTTGGAAGTCGAACGGAATCCATTCCGGAAGTCCATTCGACTTCCAAAACGCGGCTTCTGATCGGCTGCAGGAAGCTCCTGCAGCCAATTGGAAGCCCTGTCGGACGTTCGGCTTCCAAAAACAGTTTGCAAGCCGGAACACTCACCTCCCGGATTTGCAGCGTTCTGGGGCCAAAACGTTCGAGAACTAAGCTGTTCAAAAACCAAGGTACGACTGTAATGTTAGATTCTGGTTTGGGGGTAAGCAAGAGCCATAGTTTACTGAATGAATGGACTTTTTGTTACAGTTGCAGACTGTTAGCATTAGATACATAAAACAAACGGCTAAAGAGCAGATATATATAAATATACATTTTTTTGGTTTTATTTTTTAAATGGCAGGACATCAGCGGGTTTGTGGATGTTGGGTGATATCCAGCTAAGTCATACTAAGAGCACTGAAATCAGTAGACATAAGTTATTGGCGTCACTGATCACCCCTCCCCTAGCCAGATTGTCTTTAATCTTATAAGCTTGTTTTATATCTTACTGGCTGCTTATTAATACTAATTGTGCCATAGTCTGAATTCTCTGCTGGTACAAAAGGTGCAGCCCCTTGTTTTGTTTAGCTCTTGGCTTGAGCTGAAGGCCCTGCTATGAAGAAAGCTTTTGAGTCACCTGATACATGAACTGTTTGCTAAAAGATTGTGAACAATTAATGCTTTGTAAAGCATTTTGAGAGTATTTAGCAAGGACACTTGTAGCTCTTTTGGTCGTTAGGCCTTTTGAAAATTAATCTCTGTTGTATAAGCCTCCCCAGACTTCTTTATAAAAGTTTAGCTTATATCTAGCTCTACATTGTGAG